AGCTTATTTTTTAATGTACTGTATAGAAATTATGTTGGGGTTTTTTTCCCCTAAATCAAAGCTATATGTACTACTTTGAACAAGAGGGAAGTCTGAGGACTGATCAGTAGAAACTGGCTATGAAAATTATTTACATGGCCTCTTTGACTACATTACACTGAAATAAACACTCCAAAATAAACAATCTTGCAATAGTTTTTTGAGTCAAAACTAGAAGCATTACATGAGAGGACAAAATGATCCCACCATATGAATACATGGTCATTTCTGGTTCAGAGGTTTACTGGGCATATTAAGTGGGAAAAAACAAAGGGTAGACTATGCAACATCAGAAGCCATCTTAAATTTCATTGCTTTGGAAGCTACTGGAAGTGCACAAAGCAGTTGAATTAGGGAAGAGCAGCATTTTGGCATGTGTGTGCATCAGTGTAGTGTGTGTACATTGATGAAACAAATACAGGAGTAAAAATTCAAAGTTTTTTTAAGCTGCAGCTGTGCTTAAACTGATTTCTAAGTGCTAATATTTGCAGAAAGAAAAGGATGAGGAATTATGAAGAACACTGCTAAAGACAGAGGACTAACATTTTCAAATTTTATGCTGACACGCTGCTTTTGAAGCATTAGTTGTAAATAGGCATGAATGTCTTCCAATTAAAGTCCCCCTCCCCATATTTTGTTCTATAAGCAAGACTAAAATCCAGTATTAAAGGTACAAAGTTTTGCTATATTTAGTCTATCAGTCTGTAGGCATACTTAGCCACTGTTAAATGCAGCATTATTGAAAGATTTCACAAAGGAATAAAGGATTAGAAGGAATGCCTTACAGGAGCAAGTCTAGTTTCTTACCACAATAGGTAATAAATGTAATCATATTTCATAAATGTATCCAAGTCCCCCTGAAAATGGCACTTTATTACCTGTTTATCCTTTATCTCCTGTTTGGAAAGCCTTCCAGAATTAGATTTTTTTTCTTCTCAATTTCTAGTCACAGTTTTTTCAGGTACAGCTTTTACACAGCTGTTTTTATGCTAACATATTTTTTTAGCTTAAATATTTCTTGGTATTTTTTTCCTTTTTCTTCTTTGTTACCACCAGTAAGGAATCTATGTAGGACCCTTTACATTCAGGAGAGAGGAGGCAGGGTAAGTGAGCAAGCAAAAGATATGGGCAGTCAGTGCCACATTATCCATACGAAATCCTATTGATTTTTAGTTCCCTAGAGAATAGCCCAAACACCTTTGGTGACTGGAGATCATTTCAGGAAGGAACAATCCTACATTTTGTGTGTTTTAATTTTTAAAACTTATTTATTTAAGCATCTTGTGCTCTTTATTTATTTACATTTGTGTGTTGAGCCCATTCCAACTCCCTCTAGCTATCTGCTTGAGCTAGCCAATTTAAGTTTGCTACAGCTTATTCACAGTAATCTCATGAAAAAAACAGAATAGTTCAAGAGACTTTTTCTTCCAGTCCGTACTTCATATACTATTGGATGAAAGTAACACATTGGTCCCCATTTTGTGTGTTTATCAGACTCAAAAATCCAGTGGTTCAGAGAGACATAAGCTGTCAAGACCAAAAATTTGGACCTACACCTTTTTGCATGTCAAAGCAGGGGTAGTATTCAATGCCTTTTTTTTTTTCTTTCTCTTTTTTTTTTTTTTTTTTTTTTTTTTACTAGTTTGTTCCCTTGTCTTTGGTGGAAGGAGATCTCATGTTTCTTGATTTTTTTTTTTATTTTTTTTTTATTTTTTTTTCTTCACGGCTATATCACTTTGGCACCCTGTGTTGCTTCTGCAGCCATGTGGCAAGCCAAACTGCTTTATTCCCCTTATATTATTTTTTTTTTACTGATTGGCCAGTTCCTATATGTATTTCTCTCTTGGATACAAAACTTTGCAGTCTTTGCTGTTGAATTTCTTCCCACTCTCATTAATCACATCAATTAATTGAATCAACAATGAAAAACTTGTATTTTTAAGGAATGAAGCACAGATAATTTTGGGGACAGTTAGTTCGTTTTTCTAATGGGAGTCTTCTTTTAGGTGTAATATGCAAATAGAATTGCATGAAGTATTGACTGTCAAACTTCTTCAATTTTTTTTTTTATTTTTTTTTTTTTCTGGGAGAGGGAGGAAATAGCTAGTTGAGTCCATGTTGCCTTGATACACAGGTAGGATACTTTGCTACTGGGGTAATTTTTCTCAGTTTTTCATTACTTTAGAATTGATGATCTACCTGAACAAAAGCTAGGCCAAGTTCTCGGCTAAAAAGTCAGTGTTAAGTTGCTGTTAGTCAAGGTAGTATTGAGGCTGCATGAGTCATTTTGGCTCCCTGGATGATTCAGCATCATTCTACAGCGTCCTCTATCACCATAAAAATGTGGTAACAGTTTCCAGACAAGCTGAACTAATAAAGCCTGTTCTATTGTGGTGAATGAATATGTGAAGGAATGTTGAGACTAATGCAATGCTGAAAGAAAATGTAGCTGATGGAGATAACAGTGTAGTAAAAGTGGTCAACACACTCATGCAGCTACTAAATCCTTGTTCAGAGGTGTCCCTGGAGGCTTCTTAAGCAGGAGCACCTGGGTATGTTGATCCTCCTACTCATTCCTGTTATTTCCATTGTCTTTTTCCTTGGGTTGTGTTGCATCAAGGGGCTGCCTGATAGCCAGAGTTGGAAAGCTGACCCACCTGAAAAATAACTCTTTTTCCCCCCTTGCCTAATTTTAAACAGGGATTGATTCTCTCCTGCAGTTTGCGACACATCCCCGCAAGCACTTGCACTGGCACAGCTGAAAGGGCAGGCAGAGGAAGAATGGAGGGCCCAAGGAAGGCTGCCCTGGCATTCCTTTTTTTTTTTTAGAGCTTGGGGTGTTCTCCTGGTTCTGTTGGCCTCAGTACTGTCTGTGGGGTTTCTTTCTCCCTGTTATCCTTGTTTTGAATTTTTATGCAGACCAGCTGCCTGAGGTAGCTAGATGCTTAAATTGTCATCACTGGTCTGTTAGGGGCATTAGCTATCACTTCTGTTGGACCTTGGCAGTGCTGTGCATTACAGGTTTGCCTTCCACTGGCTGATCCCAGTGAAAGAGGGAGTTGGTTGAGAGGAGTTGTAAACTGAAATAATGACTTTTGTTTAGGAAGACAGCTTGAAGTTTTTGCCTTACTGAGAGTCTTATGCTTTCTGATTTCGGCAGTCATGGGCTAGATTTTATGAATTCATAGGTCTGCCTGGGTCCCTCCCCACAGTCGTACAAGTGCTTCATAACTCATTCAATGCATCTATCCTTCCAACACTTCTCTTTTTTAAGAAGTGCTGTCTTCTTTTTCTTCTTCTCCTTCTTCCTTGAACTCGGGTGCAGAGTTGAAATAACTTATCAAGTGCACACTCAAATCTGACACTTAGCAGTGAACTGAAACCATAACTTTTAAGTCTGTGGCCATCAGCTTGTTGTTGGAGACATTCCTTTCACTTTGTCTCCTAGAGGGTAATCATCCTTTGATGCAGTCATCAATGAAATTACCATTCCTTCGTAGTCAGCTGATCAGATGGTGCTTTTCTGAGGTTATTTATAGAAATCACTGAACACAGAGTGAGGGAGTTGACTTTGTGTACTTCCATCCAGAGAAGTGACTAATCTAACCTTTGTGATCTCACTGTATACAAGTTTGTTACAGTGAATGCAATTAAAATTGCTGAAGGGGGTGACTTTTACAAACTCTCTTAATGTTTTTTTTTCCCTTCCTGTGTACTTTAGGATTCCAGGTAAAAAGGCCTCTGCACTTTTCCTGCTAATGTGGTTCTGATGTGAGCTATAATGATGCTGGGAGTAAAGCTTCCAGTGGATATAGTGGTACCATGACACTAAAATGTTAATGTTAAGGCAACATCTAAATAAGTTGGTTTCCATGGAATGCTGCAAAGTTTTTTGCCTAGCTATTTGTGGTCTGAATGGATTAATTTTAAGAATACTCCCATAAATAGAAGGGATAATATTTATTTTTGCATTCATTATGCAAAAAAAAATAAATTGATAGGGTCCTGTGCTCTGACTTTTCCACATAATTTATCCTATACAGGTTATTAACAATTAAACAATGGTAGGTCAGATGTGTAGCTGCTATGATTTGCTGAAATCTTAAATGAAAACTGGAATAAATTTGCTGCTTTTTGTTTGCTCTTTTAGCATGTATCATGCTAAACGGCTCTTGCTGTGATGTAATTTGTAGTGTTCAGTATTGTTCTTCAGTGGGATCTAAAGGCATCACCATCTCTAGAAGTCACACTTAAATTTTCTTGCAGTTTTACAAAGGTTTTTTTATTTGTTTGTTTGGGTTTGTTTGTGGGGTTTGTTTGTTTTTCAATAATTTGTAGAACCTTAATTGTGCTTCTCTGTTCTGGAACAATTGTACATTTTTGGATCTGCCCGTATTTCTGTTCAGTAAGCAAAACGGTTGCTTTCTGCCACTGTTTTTTCTTTAAAACAAATTGGTCATAAGTACTTAAGTATTCTGGACGGGATTTAAACTGGAATTTTATGTTGTGTTGGTGAAAGCTTTTCTTGATGATAAAACGTGTAGAAGATATTTGAGAGATAAGCAATTTGTTTTGTTCAGTGTAGCAATGAGAAAGTTCCTATGGTTGGAAGTGCAATTAATTAACTGAATTATCCAGGAAAACTGTAATTAAATTCCATTTTTATATTCTGTCTGGGGAGGTGATGTTTCTTGTTCCTTCATCAAGGTTAGAACATAACACAGTTTGAAATGGTTTTAACTATTTAACATAAGAAGAAGATACTGTGTAAATAGTTTCATTTAAGATAGTGCTTGGTATATGAGAAGGTTTATTTTTCTGGTCAAGGGAATAGAATAGGTTGTATGGGTGGAGGCGGGAGCAACTGGCAAGTAATTTATTAATTACAGAAATAACATTAAGTAACATAATAGTGTTAAAATTACAGGAGGGTTCCAGGGCACAGGTTTACTAGAGTAAAGTATCCAATATTGCATATTTAATTTTTCTCTTTTGTTTTAGGCTCTGGATGTTGATCGAACTGTTCTCTATAAAATGAAGAAGTCGGTCAAAGCCATAAATATATCTGGTCTGGGTAAGTATATAATAATTCCTGGTAGTTTATATTGGTGAAAGGGGATAATTTAAACAGTTGTCTTGCTGAATCAGGAAGAGTTTTATATAGGTAATTCTGAGAAGAGTAAAACGTATATTTTAAATAGCAGTCTTGAGCTATCTGCTTGATCATGAGCTCAGTAAGGATGAAATTTTGTGAGGCAGCTGAACCTACTTAGCTGGCATACTGCTACCAAGTGGGGAAGCTGTGCTCTCCTTTTTCCATTCGGTCTGGGCTACCTTCTCCTTCTGCCACCCTTGGTGTTTGGCAGATCCCTAGATGAAATTTTTAGCTTATATAAAGCTGCAAATGCAGTGAAATCAACTTCAGTGGGATTAGGTGAGCACCTGAAATGCATATAAGAATTATTAAGATATGAGGGGGTAAGAGGGGTGAAATTATTCTCTTTGGCAGCAATAGGAAGATGTATTGGCTCTACTGCTTTATGAAACCTCACTCTTTCTGGTGGCTTCCAGTTATGTATGTAGAGAACTTGAGAGAGATCTGATGAGCTGCAATTTTTTAGTGTCATGATGCACAAAGTCAGATATTGGTCTTAAAAACACTGATAAAAATACAAGAACTGTTGTTGAGTGCATTTTTCTGTGTGCTAATCTCATGGAGTTTTTTGTGTTTATCATCTTTGAAAAAGAAACTGAAGATTTTTTATTTTTATTATTTGGGACTTATAAGCATTTTGTGTAGAAGAAACAGCATTCGTTTTTGTTGATAAGAAAAAGCTTTTTGTTGGCTTTTGTTCTCACTTTGCAGTTCATAGCAATTAAAGCTAACAACACCAATATTATATGCAAAATAGGTTGGCCATGTGACCTCAGAAAGGCACCAATATGTGACAGAATTTCTGGGCATATTGGTGTTCCAATATAAGGTTACAACCAGAACTTCTGTTGTGGTGTAATTCTTAACAGCTAATTGAAAGGAAGTTCCTTCTTGCCTAATGTGATGAAGCTGTTATCTTTGGATTGTAGAGGGTCCAGTTTGAGATTCATCTGGAGTGATGGCACCTGTTACATATTTATGTGGCACCCTTCTGATTGTGTTTTTTTGGTTTTTTGTTTGTTTTTTTTAAACTTTAGAGTGCTTGACTATGCTTTGTAATCAGGGTACTTGTTAAAGCATTATAGCAAGTCACTGCATTTTTTGCATAAAATCAGTACCTTGCCTAGTTTTTAAATTCATGCTGCCCACTCTTGACAATCAAGGTTTGAAGGTGTTTCTCTTCCACCAGCAGAAATATCACTAACCCAGCCACTTGTTAGCCCTTTTGACAAGAACTGTGGCCCAGCACTTAAAAGGACACAGTTACTCGATTTTTAAATTAGGTTCTCGGAGTATTAAGTTTGTGTTTTGGCTTTTTTTTTTAAACTTTAATGTGTAAATCTAGAAATGTTACAGAGGATTGGATAGTGACTCAGATTTAGACATTACACATGGTACAATATACAGTGACTCAATTTTTACATTGTAATTTAGTTTCTTAGTTTAAAAAAAAAGCTTCTAAACCCTCAAACAAAATTTGCCCAGGATTATTTTTTTTTAATAGATTCCACACCTTTTATTTGCAGAGAAACTCTTAAAATCCATCAGGAAGAAACCATCTGGCAAGGAAGAGTATTTTGGAGGGTTCCATGAAAAAATAGCATTTTGTGTTCTTCCAAAGAGCTTGTGGACTAAGCTCAGCTAATAGCATTGCTGCGATAACTACCATCATCATTCTGGGGATATCTCAGAACTACTGTTGAGCAGCTGGTTTGTTTGCTTTGTTTAATCTGATCCAGAGGAATTGTCCCCAGAATGCTGGGGAATAGCAGACTCTTGGGGATGCTGTACGGAATAGAAGGCTCGTGTTTCCTAAGGTAAAAAGTCAGCATGGTTCAGCTGCTTATTACACATCTGACCACAAGTAGTGGTAGCAGCCTTTTCACCTTGTTATTATGCAGTGGCAGCCTTCTCTTTTTGCTGTCTGAATTGTACCCAGACCTCTTCCCTCACCTGGATTCACATACACTAAGCTTGATGCAGGACACAGTAAGAATGCAGAAAGCAATATGGAAATAATTCGCCTTACTGGGTAGCTGTGTGAACTGAATGAGCAGTGACCTGCCATGTCCTGGTTTTTGCTGTCTGTGCCAGTGGTTCAAAGCTTGTTCCAGGTGTGTGTAAGTCACAGAGTAGTAGTAGTTGAACATTCTTACTTCATCCTACAGTTCAGGTAGCAAAAAAGTTTGGTAAGTGCTTAGCCTTTGCTGTTGATGCTGAGAGAAAAAATAAATACAGTTCGTTGCTAAGATGTAGTTTTTTAATTGAATGGCTATAGACAAACTGTCTCTTACAGGCTGCAAATTCAAGCACACAAGGTAGAAACTTGTAGAATTATTGCCATTTGTCTAACTTCAATTCTGCAAGGACATTATGACAGTCTTTAATTGCACAATATTATACCACTACTCTTCAGGGTTTCAGTTTCATATATTGGAAATGAAAGAAAATTTTAAACTACTTGAGAAATAAAGTTATTGAATGGCTATCTGAATAGAAATGTGAGTAGGCAGGCTTGTTTTTAAGCTGGAGTGTGCTAAGTTTATTGAACAGGTTGTATAGCTAATTCATAGAAATTTGGAGAAAGGACATGGGATCAAGAGTCCTTTGGATATTAAATGTGTTGACGTAGACAAATGGACTTGAAGCTAAACTGAATCACTGATTGTTTGAACAGATTAATCCGCTCTAAATAATCTTTAGGGTTTATGCTGGTATATGACCTAAAAAGGATTGTTGTTCTTATTAATGTATAATTTTTTTTCTAGGGTGCTGGGTTTATTTTTCTAATTTCTTTTGAAAAGAGACAGGAATTGGCCACAGCTAGAGTATTAAATAGACAACTTTAACTCTCTCAGGTGTCACCTTGGTGTCCTTTTTTCCGTGTGCTCAAGCTTGGTGTGGTCACTAACCTTTGGTACAGAAATACTTTTTGTTTTATTCCACATATCACATTGACAAATTGTTCAATTTTTTTATGCCTGCCTATGTGAGCAAGTAACCTGGTTCCTAGAACTGATCCAGTAGGTTGAAGTAGTTAAGTCTGAGGCTCATCAGATTTCCTTTATATTTGAGTCAGAGGAACTTGCTTTAGGCTGAGAATTCATCTCATCCCCTGCGATGAGTAACCCCCCAACACATGCATCTCAAAACTTGAAGGGCAGATGTGTTATCTCTGTGCTGAGTGACTTGCACTGCTGCAGCCAGGCAGTGATGCAGAACCTGCCATCTCTGTTGAGCACTGGACAGCTTCTGGGGCAGAGCTTCTGGTTTCCTTGTCTAAGAAAGGAATCTAGTTGTCAGGAACCAAAACTGCTTTGACAACTGAACTGGTCTATGTTAAATGCTGATGATAGGATTGACTGCTAGGATTTGTTGCAGATCCCCCCTTGTTGCTCTGCATGGAACCATCACAGATCTAGGTTTTGTTCTCATCTGTAATATAGTTTGTAGTCCCATTTCCTAGGATGACCTGAGAGTCTTATTTGATCTTATTGCCTTCTGTTGTGTGCCAACACACTCAATCTCTCCTCTTTGTTTAGCACAGAGTTAAACATAACAGCACAATGTTAAAATTCAGGTGTTAAGAAAAGACTCTAGAAGTTCATTATAGGAGTTGGGAATCATTATGCTGTCTCTCTCTATATATATAGTGCAGAAATATTGTGGGTCTTTCTGGAGTGGATACCAGTCAGATGATTGTCTTGTCTTGATGACTTTGTACAGCATATGGATAAGCAGAAAAAAAGAAACAAAATTAGTGAAATACATCATACTTCCGGCATATCAGAGTTAAAATAGAAATAATAAGTGCTCGTTGTATCAATTAAACATTTTTAGCAAGAAATATTCTGAAATTGTAATTTCAATAACCGTATATCTACTGATCATATTTTCGTGTTTTGCTCTTTTTGAAGCTCACGTGGAAAATGAAGAACAGTATACACAAGCACTGGAGAAATTTGGAGGCAACTGTGTTTGCAGGGATGACCCAGATTTGGGAACAGCATTTTTAAAATTTTCTGTGTTTACAAAGGAATTAACTGCACTCTTCAAAAATTTGGTAAGAATTACTTAAGAAAAACATGTTGAAATTTTAAAGGTCATTACAAAGGCTTGATTTCGGCATTTTAACAGCTCTTCATGTTGAAGACAATTTGTGTTTTAGCAACCCCTGCTCTTAAAAAATTCTTGCCTCAGGAAAATGTCTCATACCCTAGCTTTTCCTCTTGCAAAACTCAAAACACCCAAAAAACCAATTCTTACATCTAAAAGCTTCCCACAATAAAGTAGTTGTAACATGTATTATAAAATGTACATATTCATTTGCTTTAAAATTGTAACCAGCAAAACCCAACCTGGTTTACTCTTGTGTTCATGTTGCATTTACTTTACTTTTTTACATTTTCTGTTTGTATTTATAAAGAGAGATTTTAGTGTCCCTGGAAAAGAGATTCTTTTGCTTCTCATGGAACAGAGTCAGGAAAAAGAAACCAAACGTAATGCTATAATGACAATAATGTCCACTGGGGACCAACCCTGCAGGCTTAAAAGCACACTCCAGTGAGCCAAATGGGATGGAGCCAAATAGAAGAACAGGAGTTTTAATTATGAATGGAGAAATTTCCACCTCAATTTCACATTATCAAAGGGCACAAAAAGAGCAGATTCTGACTACACCCTATTAACTAGAGCTTTCTGAGTAAGTCCCAAATTAACTCAAAATGACAGAACTCTTAAACCAGGAGCTAGGAAGGGGAGATGTCCCACATTCCTACAAGCATTTAAAAGTCTGTGCCTGATGAAAACAATGGGATGAAGACACATTAAATGCTTTTGTCGGTCTAGACCAAATGTCTGTAGCTTGCAGCCAGCTGGTCATAATCAGTTCTTTGGGGAATGTTTCCAGCTGATGGGATTTAGGGCAGTCCCATTCACTCCCTGACGCTGACCTCTCTTTTTAACCCAATTGTGATATTGATGAAAGAGGATCTGGACACATATGTATTTATCAACAGTGAAATGTTTTTCATATTGATCATATTGATTTGAATGTCTTTGGATGTACAAATACTGTCTCAGATTATGTATCAGAAGAGGAATCCTTATTGAGTGTGAGTCAGTCAGTTATGCTGAGTCTCCCAGAGACTACAGAGGTAGGCTGCTCATGTGGAAGGGAAAATAAAATATATCTTCTAATTGATACCTTCTGTTAACTAAAAAAAACCCCTCTCTATCATATATCAATTGCAATATGGTGACTTCATTAGGCAAATGGATCTGGGAAATGTGATTTTTAGGTGGTTTTAAAAAGCAATCTACTAAGAGCTGCACCCTCTCTCAAGCAAAACCTTTTAATGTATTGTATTTCAAAAAGACTTTTAAAAGCTAAAAAAATGTTGCTTTTATAACAAAAATCTTAGCTATTGTTATCTTAAAACCAGTAATTATTGTCTTTGTAAAATGTTTCTGGCAAGAATAACTTTACTTGCACAAACTGGAAATGAAAATAAAAACAAAATAAATATGTTGGAAGTGGGATGCACGTTTTTATTACCTTTCCTTATCCATGTAAGCATGTTGTGTGTGTTCTCCAAGGATTATTTCTAACTGTTTTTGCTTTGTGTACTGCTTTTTCATTAGCAACTATGTATTTTTGCTTTAGTTTGAATGTATAAGAGGATATGTCATGAGCTAGTAGATAAGTTTTTAATTTTTCTGTGATTCTGATTTTCTGTATTTTTGAAACTAATAATTATTTTGCATGGATGTGAATGTAAATTTTATATATATATATTTATTTATTTATTTACCGTAGCTGTTTTCTCTGCCATCAGATTGTGGTTGCAGAGGCTTTGTAGACAGGTATGGAAGTAAAGAGCAGAACCTGTCTCAGTGAAGCCTCAAGATCTAATGAATTTGAATCTGGGTTTTTTGAAGTGTGTAGGAAAAAAGCCCCGAGCCAGGTTTATTAGGTTGTCACCATCTTAGGAGGAATAAGGAGTTATCTGTAATTTTTTGTTTCTGCTGGTAAATGGTGCCATCTCTCTGCTGCTGAGAAAGCTGATTACACTGTTTGCAGATTTGTTGTTTGTTTAACATTACTTCTAAATTGTTTAATTAAAAAAAAAGTATTCTGGGTTAATTTTATATATATATATTTATTTATTTATTTATTTTTTACATTGCAATAGCATAGGTACCTTTTCTTTAATCCTGTCTGGTGAAGGACAGGTCTCTGTAAGTTTCTGCTCTTTCCTAATATGCTTCATATTGTTGAGATTTTTTGTATTCTCCTGACTAGCAAAAAGAAAAAGAAAATTGAAGAAGCAGAGGAACCTAATGGTCCCTGAATTGGATGTCTCTCTAGGAAAAAAGTTTCCTCCAGAAAGAAATATATATGAAAAAAAGGAACTAATCTTTGTTATTGCTTTAAAATATCATATTTATAATAAAAATTCTAGAATTATAAAATAATTATAAAGCAAAATTATAGTTTTATGTAACTTTGCCTATTAGAAGTTAATACCACTAGAATAAATTGTTGGTAAGTGGTCACTTCTAAAATCTGTTCATAACTTCACTGATGGCAGGTCTCATTTTTTAAGAGGTTAAAAGGCTATTGACTGGTGTAAAAAGTCCTATAACATAGATGGATAGGGCACTGAATTTCCACAGGACATTTTAACTGAAATGAGTGGGGAATGTGCAAGGAAGTGAGAGGACATGTTCAGACTGGAACAGATGCCAAAGCTATTAACACTGGCAAAGCTTTAGGGCTACTGTCAAGTTTTGCTTGGTCTTATATTTTGCTTTTGCTTGTAGAAGCTGACATGTTCTGTCAGCTCTTGGCCTGGGTGGCATTTAGAGCTGTAGCTGTAAAGTGCTTCTACAGAAAGATTTTCCTTAAACTTGTCTTTAGTAAGGTAAAGGAAAGTAATTATAAAGCTATTCTACTTTAACAGGGATTTTATGTTCTCATTTTCTATAATATATTTAAGGGTTTCCCAAAAGGCTTTCATGTTTTTATGGATTTATCAAGGAAACAGTGTTTTAAAAAATTTAATTAATAGCTGAATTTTGTAGGTTTGTTTTTGTTGGTGTTTGGGTTTTTTTTGTTGTTGTGGATTTGTTGTTTTTTGTTGGTTTGTTTCTGTTTTAAAACTAATTACTCAACTGCAAACAATTCAAGCTAAATTTCAGGTCTTTAGTTTCTCATATGTGCTTTGCTATGCTTCTTTTATGTGTACACTTTTTAAATAGTGCAGAAAACTCAAAACTTTGAAGAACTTTGGTTCTTCACATTTGAAGTGATTTATAAAACACATCTTCGACAGAATGAATAGTAATTAATTTACTGTGTATTGGGTCCTTGTAACTGCTCACTTCAGCCTTTCTAACACATTCTTTGTGTTGTTTGGATCAGTTTATGATATACTGTGTTTTGTTGTGTTTTTTTCTTGCCATACCTCCAATCTCAAGCTACAATTTTTTCTTCAACAACTTCTGGATAGATATGTTTTTAAGAAGATTGAGCAATCAGTATGTCTTTTTTGGTAATGAACTACCAGAAAACACTATAGGCATTTTCAGAGGTAACATGGTACCTTATGTGGCATGTACAGTATCACTTCTTGATAGTAAACTAGGTGCTAATTCCTGACAGAATGGTAGCAACCAGAGTTCCCAAGTAGGTTAGTTCTGTATGGCACTTGCTTATAGTGTTAATCACTCTGCCTTTCTAATTCATTTAGTGCCAAGTGGTAAAGGTGTGAGTCTTAATATGAAAAATATTAAGACAAGGAAAGGGTCATTGCAACATGTTTGTGCTTTAAATTTTTTTACCTTTAAATCCTATTCTTAGATTGCTACACCACAAAGAAATAAAACCTGTAGTTGCTTACCATCTTTGTCAGCACTCCTTGAAAAGGGAATTGATCTTGTGAAGATGAAGTAGCTATTAAAGAAATTCCATTTTCTTCTGTATACTCTTGTCCTTTTTCATTTATTTAATTTTAAAGCTAATGAAGCATGCTGGATGGAGAGCACTGGAATCTTGATATTTCCGCTCTGTGGAAGGTAGCTGGAAGGAAAAGATTCCATGTGAGAAGTTTTTCTATTAATAAAGTTCGGATTTTTAGCCAGGAGTAATGGAAGAACAGTGATAATACTTTTCTGACTATATGCTCCTCTTTTACTTCTTTTTTCAAAATGTAAGAAAGAAGGAAGGTTTGCCTAAATGTGAAAGGTAAAAAATAACAAAACAGAAGGAAATATCTTTTCTGCATTATATCATGAACTTAAGAAATCTATGCCCAGAATTTTCTTTCCAGGGTTATAGTTGAGAGTGAGGTTTAAAAAAAATGTTTGTTGCCTGAACATTCACAAGCATATTTTGTTCAGAATGACTTGTCCTAGTTAAGTGCATAGGTAAAGATATATGTTTGGGGTTGGAGTATTGTAGGGGAAATGTAATTTAAGTTGTGTTATTTCTGTGTTTCACTGGTACAGCTGAGGAAAGAGTAGCTTAATGGTGAGAGGAAAAAAAGAAGTACTGTTTGATTTACACTTGGAAAGATATAAACTAAGATGTAATAATTCCTCCTTTGTGGCACAGGTTCAGCTCCACTTGGAATCCTAACTCTGTTTCTTTGCCAGGAAGATATTGATCCAACTGGAAGAAATTCAGAGGACAGTAACAAAACAAAACCAAAACCAACCAACCAAACAAAAATTATGGCTTGAATAGGTTGATTTATGAAGACAACTTAGACAAATTGAAAGTGTGTGGTTTACCTCACAGATAACTGATTGTGGAAGAGGAAAATAATAAACTTCATATAAATGGGATCTCAGTGCGAAAATATTAGATTAAGTGTCCCAGAGAAAGTGATAGAAGCTTGCCACTTAGGTGTTCTAGCCTAGGTTAGAAAATGTGCAAGGAAAATGGGCTGGAATAATCTCAAGTCTCTTTCTCCCTTTGCTTTTAAAATTCTTCACTTTATGTTTTTAAGAATACCTTTAAAAAGTATTTCCTGTCTTTTTTTGCTTGCACTTCCTAACAGGGAAGTTCCCAGCCTGTAGTTTGTGTGTCAGCGGTGGTAGAGGGGCAGTTTCCAAGTGGCACATGGTGGCAACACTAGATATCTTGTGAGAAGGCATTTTTCTAGGCAGCTGAGCCAACAGCTCCGTGTGGGTGCTTAGTGGAGCTTCTGCTTCGCGGGAGTCACTTTTCCCATGGCATGCATGGGTGGTGGGTGATGCTCCACCTCAGATACCAGCCTGGTGGGATGCAATTTGTGCTATGGAACACACCACTGTGCTGCAGGTGGAATGGGGTGAGGACAGGGAAAAGGCAGTGTTGTGTTCTTGTGTGTGGAAGGGAGGCATGGTGATGAAAGTTTGTGCTACAGGTCTTTATGTTACATGGTTTTCTGAAGTCTTGGGCTTATATACTGAAAGCTCCAAGTTCAGACAAACAAACAGTGTCTCATGTTTGTTTGGGTTTTCTGTTTGTTTGTTTGGGGTTTTTTTGGCTTTGTTTTGTTTTGGCTTGGTTAAAGAAAACAAAACTTTAATGAAGTACTGCAGGCACCAGTATCCAGTGCTCTTCTGGAAAAGAATCATTAAACTAATCAGGAGGGCCAGGAAATGAGAAACTTCACTGTTTAGCCATAGGCTCTTAAAGTACTTGAAAATCTTTCCTCTTCACAAACGTTGGCTTGCCTGTTGCCTCTACCATCACTTCTGGCAGCTACATGTTTGTTTATTTTTAAGTTCTCCCTCCTGGCCTTTCTTCTTCTCTTCTGTGCCTTCTCCAACTTAGGAAGACTTAATTTATTACCCTGTCTCTGACATCTTACCTTGTTGGAAGCTGTCAGAGGCAAACTGTGAATCTGCCAAAGCAGCAGAGTTGGAAGTGGAAACCAGGTCAACTTTTTTTTTCTTGCTGTTTTTTAAAGCATGTAGAACTTGCTAGTGTTCCTCTGACACAGGATGACTTTCGTTTCTGGGAAGCTTTCCTGCATCTTTGTGCATGTTTCTTTTTGAAACATAAAATAGTCAAAAAATAGAGGCAGTTGTATACGTTTTAGCTCCCTATATGCACACAGAGTAGGAGCTGCAGCATATTCATTCTTCTCTGCAAGCCAAAAATGGGTCTATATTTTTAGGTAGTTCAGCTAAAATTTCTCAAGAAAGAGGGGAAAAACATGTAAGATCTTTCTTCTGTATATTGCTTGCTGATTTATAAACATGAGCTAGTATGATTCAACCATCTAGGTTAATAATGAGAAGTTCATCTATTATGTATGTTTAAATTTGTTGCAGATTAAAATAGGACCATAAGGAATACAATAGACTAACAGTAATATACAGGTGATAGCACACAGAAGGAATTAATTTGAATAGTTAAATAGTCTCCAAACTTTTAAAAAGAAGGTTGTTTTCTCCTTTCTTTAAAGTTGCTTTGAACTTCACACCTTGTGACTTGAAATTCTAGGAAACATCCAGAATTTTTTGGAAGCTGATTGATATTTATATTAATATGTCTGGGATAGTACTTCAGGGTCTGAATTTTTTTCTTTTCTAACTTAAGGAAGAAAGAGTTGTCTTGAGTCTACTGTTGAGAAATGCTTTATTCTTGCTTTATGCCTCTTTATCTGGATTTGAAGAATGATTAAATGGAGGCTCTGATGGTATTGATTTTTAGGTTAGATATTTGACTGCATCATACTGATAGAATAACAAAGTAGAAAACTCTGCATAGGATGATATCTTAGATGAGACTTCTGCTTCTCCACCTGGATAGTTATTCTCGATGTGCATGTCCTTAGGCATACATGTTCCATCTGTCATCTTTGAGGTCTTGGGTCTTTTTTTCATCTATGTTGTGTGTGATTTATACCTTTTCACTTACCTCCTATATATACATTTAATTTTATTAACTTAGGGCATAATTATGTTGATAAGCAGATGTTGTACTGCTGAAAACTTACAAGGTGGATGATTTCCAGCTCTGCCAGCTAAGCACGTGTAGATGTTGCTCATTTGATTTTTATAGGAATTACTTTTTATAAATGGAAAAGGGGTGGAGGAGGGGAAATTACATTTTTTGTTAAGAGTTTAAAATATATTTTCTATATTTGTTCAGCGTTCCCATGCAGAGGTGCTCTGTTTAACCTTTAAAATTTGTGTATTTTCAATTTGATTATAGGCTGAATGCAGTAAGGTGAAAAGGATGGGCAGGGGTCTGGAGCCTTTGTTTGTTAGCAGCTGTTGAGTACCACTGGGGATGGGACAACTGAATCTGTTCTAGTGGTCCTAGCAAGGAGCTATAGGGTGATAATGTTGTGTATTTTTCCATTCTGGAGAGAATGAAGCATCATAACTAGCAATATTTTTCTTTAAGTACCTGTTAGTGTCCTTTTCCCTCTGGATGAAACAGAAGCATTTTTTGGTACATGATGCAAAGTTCTTTATGTACTTAGAATATTTGAAATCCATCTTCATACATGCATTTCAGTGCTTCTTGAAAAAAAATCACAATTTAAATGACAACTAACAATAACATTAAAAAGGAAAACAATCCAAAGGCAACAGTCCTCAAACAACTGCAAGTTATTCTGATTATTTTTTTTCCATCATGTGGTTCTAAAATACAATGTGTTTAACTCTTCATTGCAATCCATTTGAATTCTTAAGTTTTAAAATCTGTGACTAGACATCATCGTCCATACCTTGGAACATTTTTGTTGAATCATAGAAGATTGGACATGAAGTCTTTCTTTTCCTGGTGTATGCTACTTACTGTCTTATTC